AGTTTTGTCTTGTTTTCTCCTGTGCATGCAAAGAGCAACATCTCCTTTATCTTAAGTTTGTTGTCGCATGGTTTTTCTGTATCGCCTACCTTCTCCGGGAATTTTGCGCGTTTCATGACTTGCCATTGCTATAAGTTATACTGACCTCAGTAAAATCTCGTATATTTTTTCAAGAATAGTCTAAAATGTGTTCACGCATATTCAGATTCTTCAAGTGAACTTTGACTGCGCGCTTCTGTCTTTCTGACTGTTACATGGTGGGGCAACATTTGATTCGTGTCAGGTGTCAAGACGTAATAAGGATAGACGGTTGCGCTTCAAGCACCGTATGTTCCGACCACATTCTTTAAAAATATCTGAAAGAAAAAAATAAAGCTTCGGTCTATTCGTCAGTCATAATTACAGAACCATAGCTGGTGTTATAGTTTGAACATCCTTCTTTTCCAACCTAAGTCGCAAATATTGTTGCGATTCAATTGTTGCGATAAAATGTGTTCATTTTGATCCAGCTATTAGGAACAGCCAGTGCTTAGGAAAGGTTTTTAACACAGACTAATAATTAAAAAAAGCTCTTAAGCTTCCAGGTATCATGGTTCTGTAGCGTAGAGGAAGGGAAGGAGACCAGCAACAAATAAAAGGGTTTGGATGTTCTTAATGAACTCGCATGTTCTTAAAGAACATCCGACCTGCGCGGGGTCGGATGTTCTTAATGAACTTTTTCGTATACTAGTTAAAAATATGTCTGCTCTATAAATTGACAGTAATGTTTTTGCTTGTGTGCGAAGTGCAACTTCGCCTCTCTGTAAAATGAGTAGTTCAGAAACAAGCGACTTTTTCCTTGTTGTTGCGACCATTGAAACCGGGGAATTCTTAGTGTGCGGGTGTGTTTTAGTTTTTTTTAACAATTGATCAACCTTGTTCAGACTTTTATTTAGGTCGTGATGATCTTGTGTTTCCCCAATTTGTCGGCTTATTTGCCTTGTTTTTGGTTTCAGTAGTGCTTTAAACAGGCGAGGGCAGTGTCATAGTGTGGATCTGTTTTTTTCAACCAAAATTTTAAACAGGCGAGCGTAATCATAGCATGAATCTGCTTTCTCACAGCATCTGTTCTCTGCTTAATTGGGTGAGAGCGAGTGTTTGCCGTTCTCTAAGCGAATTTGGTATATAGAGAAAGATGCGATATTACCTATCTACGAGGCGGAGTTGAAATACTTGTGTTAATTTTATCAAAAAATTCAATCAAAAATTGTTCTAAAAATTCTTTTTTTTAAAATCTGCGTTTGATGATTTTTTCCAACTGTTTGTGGCTTTGTTTTTCTTTTCCGCGCAAAATCAGGTTCCATAATTAATCATGGAAATGAGTGGAGTGATATATCATTTCGCTTGCGAGTATAAAAAGCTCTCAGTCCTAATTCGAATGACAATTTAAAATTAACAACAAAATTGTCCCAATATTGAGCGAAACTGGTTTGAATTTTGATCTAGTAACTCTCTTTATATGAAAATTGAAATTTATACTCAAATAAAACTAGTTTTGAAAGCTTCATTTAGCTCGTTCTTGACATTAAGTATAAAAGTTTTCTCTAAAGGTTTAAAAAGTCCTAAATATGAGACGTCAATATAGGAACGTCACTTCTGTTGTCGGTTATGCCTAATTTCCTAATTTTTTCTCGGTTTTTATAAATTTTTTCGTCACACCACGCACAAGAAACGACCCTGATTTCTTACTTTTTTGCAAGCGATTTCAAGTTGAATTAGTTTATCGCGGTTCGTTGAAAAGAAGGCAAACTCCACGATCGAACAGCAAAAAAGTAAGGGTGACGAACAACTCAAAGGACGTCTCAATTCAATAATGGATTCTAGGTTTTAGATTTTGCAGCAGATTATAAACATACTGATCCAGCTTGTTCAAATTGGGTTAATCTTATCAAAAAAGCGCCAATCATAAGTTGTTATTAAGAATTCGAAGAGCTGTGAGGGCAAATTTTTCAATTCAAAATCCAAAGTTGCTTTTTTTCAACAAACACTGTTTTTTTTTATTTTTTTGAGTTCATTAGCGTTTCTCTAGTTAACTGTTGGCTATATTTTATTAGAAGCGAATAAATTGTTTTTGTTTGAAATTTTAATCTACGGGTCCATCGTTTTACATTAAAACAAAAAAATCACATTTAATCAGAGCGAATGGCCTTTAAAAAATGCGGCTCAATGTAAGCGCGCTTATAGAGCCAGTTTTCAGGGCATATCCGCACAGTTGCCGCATTTTTTTTTCGCTTAATTTATTCCTATTGTGTAATTAAGGTATATGAACAATATTTGTTTAATCACTGCATTCATTCGCTTTTTATGCGACCATTTGTACTTAGCTAGGCTCTCTAGCATGGTGGCTTAGGTTTAACATTCCTTGCGAATGTCCAGGAGTATGACGGTGCATCGACCTAGAATAGTGTTAAAGATTTTTTATGAAATTTCATAAGCATCTTCAAAGCAGCAGTTGAAGTTTTGTCTTGTTTTCTCCTGTGCATGCAAAGAGCAACATCTCCTTTATCTTAAGTTTGTTGTCGCACGGTTTTTCTGTATCGCCTACCTTCTCCGGAAATTTTGCGCGTTTCATGACTTGCCATTGCTATAAGTTATACTGACCTCAGTAAAATCTCGTTAAGTTAGACCGTATGGTATATTTTTTTCAAGAATAGTCTAAAATGTGTTCACGCATATTCAAATTCTTCAAGTGAACTTTGACTGCGCGCTTCTGTCTTTCTGAGTTTTACATGGTGGGGCAACATTTCGATTCGTGTCAGGTGTCAAGACGTAATAAGGATAGACGGTTGCGCTTCAAGCACCGTATGTTCCGACCACATTCTTAAAAAATATCTGAAAGAAAAAATAAAGTTTTGGTCTATTCGTCAGTCATAATTACAGAACCATAGCTGGTGTTATAGTATGAACATCCTTTTTTTCCAACCTTAGTCGCAAATATTGTTGCGATTAAATTGTTGCGATAAAATTTGTTCATTTTGATCCAGCTATTAGGTACAGCCAATGCTTAGGAAAGGTTATTAGCACATACTATTAATTAAAAATAGCACTTAAGCTTCCAGGTATCATGGTTCTGTAGCATAGAGGTAGGGAAGGAGACCAGCAGAAAATTAAAAGGCTTCGGATGTTCTTAATGAACTTGGATGTTCTTAATGAACTCGGATGTTCTCAAAGAACACCCGACCTGTGCAGGGTCGGATGTTCTTAATGAACTTTTTCTTATACTAATTAAAAATATGTCCGCTCTATAATTTGTGGCATAATAGTTGCAAATTTTTTTCAAACTGACTGCGTCACTTAGCAATTATGTACACTCATAATTGGCGTGCGGCACTTAAGAAATCTTGCAGACTCATTCAAAGCTTTACTCATTCAGTTTTCCCAGTAGCGTTGTCAGTCATTTTTTTGCTTGTATATGCGAAGTGCAACTTCACCTCTGTGCAAAATGAGCAGTTCGAAAACAATTCTTGTATACGGGTGACTAGAAAAACCCGAAAAAAACTTTAGTTTTTGAAGTTTTTGATATCAAAAAACCGCTTAAGTTCTCAAAAGAACAAACTTAACTCGAGTAAAACTGAGTTTCAATTGCTTAATTTAAGCAATTGTAAGCTTTGAACCATTAAAATAAAAAACTTTTGTAACTATTGTAAGGCGCCTGCTCGCTCTTTTGCTTCGCTTGAATTACGACGAAAAAATAAAAATTTCAAACTGTGTTTGTTAAAAACGTCGTTCGAATCAAGACTGGGCTGAAAGGGCTTAAATATGATATATCACTCCACTCTCCGGTGATTTGTGGTGGCTGACTTTGCAAGAGAAAAAAAAGAAAAAACTAAAACACCCGAATACAAAGTTCTTCTCCATTTGCCAAATGGTTGGAACAAGCGACTTTTTACTTGCTAATTATTTTTGTTTCGACCATTGGAACCGGGGGGATTTCTTAGTATGCGGGTGTGTTTTAGTTTTTTAAACAATTGATCAACCTTGTTCAGACTTTTATTTAGGTCGTGATGATTTTGTGTTCACCCAATTTGTCGGCTTACTTGCCTTGTTTTTGGTTTCAGTAGTGCTTTAAACAGGCGAGGGCAGTGTCATAGTGTGGATCTGTTTTTTTCAACCAAACTTTAAACAGGCGAGCGTAGTGTCTTAGCATGAATCTGCTTTCTCACAGCATCTGTTCTCTGCTTTATTGGGTGGGGGCTAGTGTTTGACGTTCCTTAATCGAACGTGGTATATCGAGAAAGATGTGATATTACTTATCTACGAGGCGGAGTTTAAAAAATTGTGTTAATTTATCAAAAAAGTGTCAATCATAAATTGTTCTAAAAATTATAATTTTTTTGTGTTTGTTGTTTTTTCCAACTGTTTGTTGGCTATATTTTTGTTTTTCTGGCAAAATCAGGTACCACAAATAATCTTGTGATTGAGTGGAGTGATGTATCATTACGCTTGCGATTATAATAAAGCTCTCAGTCCAGATTCGAATGACAATTAAAAAATTTACAACAAAATTGTCCCAATGTTGAGAAAACCCGGTTTGAAATTATATTGGGCGATAAGTTGATCTATTAACTCTCATTATATGAAAATTGAATTTTATACTTAACTAAAACTAGTTTTGAAAGTTTCATTTAGCTCTTTCTTGACAATAAGTATAAAAGTTTTCTGTTAAATTAATTTTTTTTAAATATTACAGGTCAATTTAGGGATGTCACTACTGTTGTCGGTTATGCCTAATTTTCCCATTTTTCTCGCGTTTATATGGTTTTTTCGTCACACCACGCACAAGAAACGACCCTTATTTGTTTTTTATGAAGTATGTCGGATCATTCTGTGCTTACTTGCGCAGCAGCCGGCTATCCTTTTATGAAATCTCGTTTGCTGCGAATTGTAGCTCATTGCGAATTGCATGTTACTAAATGTCGGCCAAACATTATACTCACAGGTACAATGGTTTGATGTTATAGCGGCTTCAATGGACTGTCTGTTTACTGACGACGAGGAAGCAGAGGAGTTTAAATGCAACCCACACGAGCACCACCTATATTCGGACTCGGTCGCAGTCATGCTGCGCTCAGGCAGTCTGGGCTGCTTCGCCACTCCACACGCGAGCTCAAACACGCCATACGCATTCTTTGTAAGAACGTTCTTCCTTTTGTCTTCAGTTTTCACCTATGCCAAATCTACAAATACACCGCTATTCAAAGCCGCAACTGTTTATTGCATTTTCATTGTTCTTGTCATTAAATGCAAACTAGCTAGTGCTGCAAGTTTGAGTTTGGATTAGAAATATCGACTTCTGAAAAGCATGAATAATTCAGGTATTTTTGGTAAACATGCTAGTGGCTGAACGTGAACGTTACCTCGGGCCATGTTTGATGTTAGACGGAAGTTTTCAACACCAGTTCATTTAAGCAAACAATAGTTATTTAGCTGTTTTTATCATTCTACAGGGCTGAGCCAACTATTTATTTTGTCTGCAATCACAATTTTAGTAGTCTCAAGTGATTGAATTGATTTTAAATTCCACGTTGGGAAAGAAATACGTTTGTTAAAAATGAGACTACTGGAACCTGATCTAAACTACATTTTATGATTGGATAAATTAGATATTTTACCAATGTAAAGTATTTAAAATTAACCAATCATGATCCATCTGACTAACAATCCACTTATTTGTAAGTGCTGAAATTACTTGTAATTTCAGCACCAGAGAGATTTGAATTTAACTTAGAAGTTAGTTGAACTCTCCCGAGTACTTCAGCAGCCGCAATAAACCAGTATACCCTAGATCTATTGAGCCTAGCAGAGACTAGTTAAACAACCTGAGACTAGATAGTATAAGAGTAAGATTAGGATCGGTATTAGACTAAGAAGTTGCACGAATCTATCCGGCCGAAAATAAGATAGCGTGACGAGCAGACGGTGTACCCTATCCGAAATTACTCTATGAGTTATACACTTCGGTCATAACTCATCTGGTGCGACCATAAGTCTCGAACAAGACCTTAATCGCTTAGAATTAACCAATAATAGATTAGAATTTAGACAAAACATTTACAAAATGTTATACGACAATAATTTAATCGAAATGTCTCTACGACTCAATAGATCAGAGCCAATATTCCGAACGATAACAGAACTACCCGGAATTGGAAGAAGACCTCGAACCAGAGACGACATACGACAAAGTAGAAACTTACCATATAGTTATATGATAGTTCGGCAAAAGCCAGAACAAACTTTTGTATTTAGAATACTACTAGCAATGAATTTAGATTTTCATTTGCAAACATAAAATTTTGAAGTCAATCTTCAAAATCATTTCAGGCGCTAAACAAAATTATTAATATACAATAACGATTGATAAAAAGATCTCAGATCGTTTTCCTAAATTCTGCAGTAATATACAAAACATGTTTGAAAAATATTTATTGAAAAATCAAAATAAAAATTAGTAGCATGACAATAAATGGTTAGTAATTATAAATCATCCTGTTGTTCCAGCTTCATCACCTAAACATAACAGCATTCATAAGCTCACTAATATCATAAAAATACTAAATCTTTTCCTTACACAAATTTAAATCATTTTAAAACTTAAATTCACTTAATTTTAAAATCAGATCATCAAGGCTTATCCTTGGATCTTAAATCATTTTCTATATAATTAAATTTAAAACTTGATCATCAAGGCCTATCCTTGGATCAAAAAGAACAACTTTGTTCTCCCCCACCCACTTAACTAGTGTCTAACGACCTCAAACGTCGATTCACTATCCAACCCTTTCTAAAAACCCAGGACTAATAGAAATTTTTGAACAAAACTAATCATTCAAATTAGGATAAACAGTGAAGAACTTCGGTTATTCATCCTTCACTTGATCCCCCCTCTTACCAGACCCAGGATAAATCTTAGACTTAGTAAGTTTAAAATAGTATCTAACGAACTACTCGCGTTCTAATTATACCTGAACCTTGTGGATCGATTTACTATTCTCCAACCCTGAACACAATCACTACCCTTAAGTAAGATTAAGTAAGTTAACACCTTAGCTTATACTAGCCACGAGAAAGTATAAAATCATTCTTCGGAATCGATATACTTTTCTCCCCAACCCTGAACAAATAGACCCAGGTTAGGCTAACAAAAAAATCGTAAGGACTAACAGTTTAAGCAAATAGAAATCATTTAACAACCTTTTGCACCCGTCATCCTAAACCTTATGTCATTTAAAAACCTAGGAAATAAACAAACAATCGTTTTACACAATTGTGAAATAGATAACAAAAAATACGACCTTGTAATCACACCTCATACACAAACAGTTGGATACATTCGAACAAAACGACAAACACTAAAGAGAAAAATAATAACTAAACAAAGACAAATTACACGAAAAAGATTTTCCAAAAACCGCAACGCATTTTCAGAATCAGAAACCAACAGTTTAGACGAACTTTATAAACTAAAAGAATCAATAGATAAAAATTGCCCAATTCACGATCAATTATATTTATCTGACTCAGAAACAACTTCAAATTCATCAAAAAGAGGAAAAAGAAGAATAAAAAAGCAGTATAAACACAAACCAGTACATTTATACAATTGGAATCAACCAATTAGACACATTGATAATTACATATTAACAGTCATCAAACGAAAAAATGAGCTCAACACACACCCCAGGTGAAGAAAGTCCAGATGATGATGATATCTTCCCCTTTATAGTAGATGCAACCACTGATAGAGGACAGCATATATTTTGCAATTTGTTTGAACCCGGAATCAGTCCATGTAAAACAGAGTTCCCAGATGTAAAAATCAAAAGACAAATTATCGATCACTATCTAAAAGATATATGTAACCTAACACAACAATACGGAATCTACTCCATAGAATTCAGCTCACCAAATCAGAATCACAATAAATATATAATTCAAACAGACGACCTTGATTTACAATTTTCAAAAGTATTCTCAGAATATATAAAAAGCATCCAATATCATAACTCACAAAGAGCAAACTCCATATTCACCAATGAAGTTTTTGCGATAATATATAGTTATATATCGATATTAGAAAACGAAATCCAGATACCAAATGTCTCACCGACAGAAACATCTAAACATATAAGAGTACGACTTGAAATCACACTACTCTCTAGTTTTCTAAATATAATTAAAGAAAATTTCACGAAAGATGAAGTTTCACAACATACAAAACACGACTTACAAAAAATTTTGGCATGGTTCATAATAGATTATTTCACACATAATATTGATTTAATTTCACAAGCAAGAAAAAATTTCAGACCCCAAAACTCAAACGATGATACTGCCATCGCAGAACAATCAGACTATGTTTGGGTCCCCGAATGGTCTCATCCCGCATTCATAAACTTCCCACAATCAATCTCAAGCCAAGCAATAAGTACGATATCTTATATAAGAGATTATGTAAGAGTAATACCATTAACCATTGATGCAACACCATTAAACTATAATACATTTTTACCCGATATGCAAAATAATAGTTTAAACTCTACAGTCATACACAATGAAAACCTCAATGGAACTAGGAATCTTACTCAACAAGATATCCAGACACCATCACACTTCATAAATGAAGAAATCGTACACACAACAACTACACAACAAAGTATTTCACCAATACGTCCAAACTTAACAACACCAAGAAATACAAATCCTTCACAAACACAGGTAACCTTACAATCAACCATTAAACCTTCGGTTGCCCCAAAATATTCACACATGGATTACCAAACATACAGACCCATGACAATACCGCCAAAAACACGCAAAACGTTCACTAGAAACAATTTTGCAGACCATAATTATAATTACACACATCCATCAAAAATAAATTATCAACCACGAAAAAATTTTAGTAATTATACAAGATCTCGAAACTGGGATAACTCAATGGCACCACCTAATTCAGTAAATTTCCAAACAAATTTACATCCTCCACAGGATCGTAGTGAAAACTATCCATTTTTTCAACAAAATAAAAATAAAAAACAAACATCTTATCAAATGGATTACTTATCCTCAGATGATGATTTCTTACAACCAGATATATTTGCACCCTATAATCAAGAATATCGTGGACAAGGAATACAGAAACCACATACATATCATAGAATTTTTTCTCCACAACCAATAGATACACAAAATCAACAACCAATTCAGCAACAAAACCCAATTAATACACAATCTTTTCAACCAATTCAGCAACAAAACCCAATGATTGCAAACTCGTACCAACCAACACAAATGCAAAATGAAATACCACTCCCATATTTTCTTCAACAACACGAAATAACAAGAAATCAACTTTCAAATTTTTCTCAAATGCCAAATGCAGCAGAATCATTACAAATGACAATGAGTCCATACCTTATGGGTGGATCATCAATAACATCAAATAAACCTTTAATGGTATTCACAGGAACAGACCCTGAATATTCTGTAGAAGACTATTTAAATGCAGTAACAGCAAATTTAATTTTAAATATAGGACCCGAACCAATTAATACGCCACTACATCAAAACTGGATACATCGACGCACAGCGTTGATACAAACAACTTTAGACGGCGCAGCCCAAAAATGGTTTTCAGTATTGCCTATAGAAATAAAATCAAATTGCAAAAGGTTTACACAAGAATTTTCAAAAATGTTTGACTCCGAAAGAAACAAACAACAACAAAGAGTTTTATGTAATGAAATTCGCAGATTACCAAACGAAACCATCAAGCAATTAGCAGTACGAATCGAAACACTAGTTCGAAAAGCATATTCATTAAATACACACGACTATAAAAACACAAAGATGACAGAAATCTTAATGATGACCTTAACACCGCAATTAAGAAAAATAGCAATAAAAAAGAGAGCATCCCATCCTTCTTCAATTCGAGAACCCGATTTAGATTTTCGAAAACTAGTAGACAAACTAGAACAAGCAGAAATCACAATGAAACTCGAAGAAACGGAAAATCTGAAATTACAATACGTTAACAGAATTGAAACAGCTTCCACAAATATAAACAATATACAGGAATCAGATACAGACCTCGTTGAAAAAATCACTGAAATACTCAATATTTAC